CGGTTTACTTGGAAATTATATTTTATCTTCCTGCTTCCTGGGATAATATTGCCTCCATACCTCTCTTTAATGGTGAATGCTCGTTACTCATGCTAATACTGTAGCTTTATCAGATCCTGGCAAATATAATACCTTTACTCCACTATCATATGTCTCAACCATAGGGATGGATGGGCACATGATTTGGACAAGGTCAATTGTAGTTGCCCCTCCTCCTTTACTAAAGTAAGTGTTCAGGTATGGACCAATCAGATACCTTTCTTGAGATTTTTCTAATAGGAACAAAGAAGGGCTCTCATTATTCTGTGATCCTGAAGTTATAACACTATAAACGTTCATCTTCCTGAGACTGTATTTTCTAGAGTCAATTCCCCACATGGAAAAAGTCTGGCTACAATTGAAGAGAATTATGCAAATACACAGAAAAAAGTCTAAATGGAAGATAGAGAGATCCTTGAAAAGGTTTTAATTCATGCTTATAATTAGCAATCAGAAATATGCCACCTTACCTTTTCTAAGATTTGAATAGTTTAACAATTTCTGCTTTTATTTTTTAAAATCAGTTAGAGTTGGGTTCTGTCAACTACAATAACAAGAACACTGACTATTACAAATGGTATTGTACCAAATATGAGGAAGATGTGTTGATTTGTTTAAACTCTGTTATAAAAACAAATTGGCCTAAAGCTGTTCCTATAAAATGATGGTATTGGCAGTACTTGAAAATTTAATCACAAAATGACAAATGTAATATTTCTACTTAAAAAAGAGTAAGTATACAAGTTCGAAATGTGCTGTAAATAGAAATTAAGCCCATATGAAATAATGCATAGATTTATATTGAATGTTTTTTTTTGACAAAGCAAGTAAGAAACCACTTCCTAATCTTAGGGGAACCAGTTTCTTCCACAATATTTTCATGTGTTTCCTGAAAAATGAAGCATCTCAAACTTATCCTCATAAAAACGAACCATCAGCAAAGAATACTGGTATACCATTTATTATAACTAGGAACTTGCCACCATAAGGAATTTTGAGCAAACTGCCATGGTGCTGTGTAGCTAGTCAGAATTGTGGGGAATAGG